AGAGCGGAGAGTACAGTTTGGGTGATATTTGGAGACGAGATTGATGATGTAATTTGGGGCAGAGTTATAAATAGCTTTATATGTTATTGTTAATGTTTTGAATTTTATCCGCTGGACAATGGGAAGCCAGCAGAGGGATTGGCAGAGAGAGGTGGCAGATATGGAACACTTACAGTTACAATACAATTTGTTACAAGAGGAAACAGAAGGCCCTGCTCATTAGAGCTTACAATCTAGGAGATAGTAATCAAAAGAATATACCATGAATGCCAACTTTTTTCCAAAGTAAACAGACCCATTTTAATAACCTTTCATTATAATTGAAACCTGTTAATGCTTTTATTAATGCAATTTTCAACCTGCTTTAAAAGTTTTTCTCTAAATGAGCTGCAAAAAACTGCAACTCATATACATATGGCAATACAAGTCATTTATAAGGGAACAATACCCTTTAACTCCCTTTTTTTTGTATCCCTAAATGTTATTTACAGCAGCAACTGCCACTTGACATTGAGTGTGGCTGCTTAGCTTACTAGAAACCAGTATTTCCAAGTCTATCTCCATCTCAGGTTTCCCTAGCTTTACTCATTTTTATGTATAGGAGACAGTGCCATAATCAGAGCCTAGATGCATTACCTATTTAAATGTCATCTGCCTTGGCTGTATTATACCTATTTTACCAGCAACATTCTAATATATGATCTGCCCATAAAGAATGAAACCCTTTATAATATGGTGTTGAAATGTGATTGGTTTAGAATAGGGGATAAAATACCTATGATTTTTACTGCTGTGAGATGTTACTGATGTTATCCTCCATTCTCTTCACTTAAGTGACGTTTCTGACACATCATCAACTGCAGACAAAAGGGATCTTTCCACTATCTGCTAATTAGTTAGATCTAATTAGTGATAGGCCATCCTTGTAGTGGACTGTACAAAAAGTAAACTGAGTACCATAGTTAGGAGATCGTCAAGATAAGATATATAAGGATGGCACACAATGCAAATTAGGATCAAATGAAAGAGTAATTATTGGGCATCCTCAACTGTTTTCCCAATTGATAATAGACACTCAGAGATCTTCAACTAAACTAATTAATTTCAGCAGGATTGGGAGATGATGTTAATATCTAGAACAGCCTTTCCCAACCAGGATTCTGTGGAACCCTAGGGTATCCCTAAATTTTTGCAAGGGTTTCATTGAGGGAGGGAGGAGGGATTCTTTCCAATGACCATAAGTGTATGGGTCATTCTTCCAACTTATTAGCAGGGGTTTCCTGATACTGGAAAGTTATTTCAAGGGTTCCTCCATGTTGAAAAGTCTGAGAAAGACTGGTTTAGAATTTAGCTTAGAGATTACGCCAGACTTTGACAGTTACCCCATGCTTATACATCTTAGGAAAGCAATGTTTTGGCCAGAATGGTATTTTGGCTATTAGATTACACTGTCCAAGATTGTAGCAACCTGATATATCGATGCATTTATGTGTGCACTGCTCATATTGCTACTATCTATATATGACAGCAGCATTAAATCAAGTCTGGGTATAGCTATGGAAAATTCCAAAGGACATTACAGCTTCCTTGGAAATATTGATAATGTTGGATACCAGTGTGACTTTTTATCCTGACTTGATACAATGTTGCATTTTTTTTATGGAAACAAAGAACAATCATATGAACAACCACTGAGTTTACAGCATGTTGGGAAATCTCTAAAATCAATCCCAGATTCAATCTACTGCTCTGCGGCCTGCTTTTCTCAGATATTGTCAGCCATGCTCAAACTGGACACACCGCTACCCAAAACTGGAAAATGACAGCTTGATAAATACAAGCAATACTCCTGGTCTTGAGCGTTGCTTGCAATTACTGGCCCATTTCTGAAGGGCTAGGAGGTAATAATGAGAGCCTGCAGGGGTCAGAGGGACTTATTTTTGCACAGCATCCTCTTGCTGAATATTTTCCCTACAATGCAAGAAGACCCAATCTTTTACAGTGCGATAGAGTAGAGAAAGGGTTTTAGGTGAAATGTTTACTTAGGCCCGCCTGTCAAGCAACTCAATTAAAGTGATTCTAAATTCTTACTTTTATTTTTTTAAATAACAAACATGTCTATACTTTCCTACTGTGAGCAGTGGTTTTGCACAGAGCAGTCTGGATACTCCTCTTCTTAGGTCCCCGGCAGGCTCTCTTGGCCCCTCCCTCCTGTCAGGTGCCCCCACAGCAAGCAGTTTGCTATTGGGGCACCCGCTGCTCTGTGTGTCCATTCATTGACTCGCTGGCTGTGATGGCTTCCACTTCTATCTCAGCCAATGACAAGAGGGAGTCCCGGGATAGCCGAGACTCCAGTGCACATCGCTGGATCAAGAGGGGGCTTAAGTGAGTATTAGGGGGGCTGGGGGAGATGCAGCACACTTAAGGTCTATTACCTTCATGCATAGAATGCATGCAGGTAAAAAACCTTGAGCCTTTACAACCACTTTAAGCCAAGGATAAGGATGTCCCATGCCCATGAGATATGGTTATTTACAAGAAATTCAGTGCAGTCAGTCATCATTCAGAAGCATAAAACATTTTCCAGCATCATGGCCTCACTGGGGTTGATTTACAAAACTGATGCACACAGAAATTGGTGTAACTGTGCATAGTAACCAATCGGCTTCTAGGTTTTATTGTCAAAACTTAACCGAATTCTTAACTAGAATCTGATTGGTTACCATGCACAGCTGCACCAGAATCTGTGTGCACCAGTTTTAGTAAATACCCCCTAGTACTGAGTCTGATTTTCGAATAAATATGATAGTGAGAGAATTTCCCATAGCAACCAATTATATCCTTTGCCCTTCATGTCATATACCAACCCCACTTTTTTAGTAGAAATATCTAACATATGACCATTCAGTGCATACCTACAGGCAGTTTTATGATAAATTCAGAGATAACACAAGAGTAAAAATGCAGAACATAGGACAATTGTTCTTTAGAAAGACTAGAGCATGAACTGTATGCAGAGTGTACCTGTTTATGCACTGCAAAGGCAAAGTTGGCAACAACTCAGGATCACTGAAAATTTATTATTATTATTATAATACAGTATTTATATAGCGCCAAAAGGTTTGCTCAGCACTGTACAATATAGTGGGGGACAGTATATGAGACAATACAGTAACAAAACAATACACGAGGGGTTCGAGGGCCCTGCTCTTTCATGTTACAATATTTTAAATGCAATTGTACTAGTGCATATTTTTTTACTAATTATTGTGAAAGTTTTGAGTTTAGAAATTTATCATTACAAGGAGTACATAAAACACCAAAGTGACGAGTGCCATAAAATATATATATAGTATGACTATGTGATCTAGGAAAAATACATTTAATTTATATTCTCCTAGATTGTAAGCTCCAAGGAGCAGGAACCTCCTATCCCTCTTGTATTGAACTGTATTGTTGCTGTATTGTTTCCCTTTATATTGTAAAGCGCTGAGCAAAGTATTGGCACTATATAAATCCTGTATAATAATAATATTAATATTCTAATCAGTATATTTTTCAATAATTAGTATAAACCAATTACCTAAAAACAAATATTAGATTAAGCACTCTTTAATTTTCACAATACAGTACCTTACTTTGCCGGCAGGTATTCACATAAATATACCCAGAGGATCTCATCGCCAGCTAACTATTAATTCTTTTTAATTTTCTTTTTGTTGCCAATGTGCTTGTGTCTGCCCAGCATTGCTCATAATGTGCACGTACTTGCTCCTGAGCATTGCTCCCCAGCCAGTGCTGGCAGGAATTTCCTTGTGGATCTGTAAATACAATTGTTCTCAGTGTACCTGAAGTGTGCTGAAGATATGCAAAGTGTCTGAGCAAAAGCTTTGCTTCACTGGCACGAGCAGAACAGGATTTGAAATGTATTTTACTGTCTGTAAGTGTATCATACGATCGTTTCTACGTACTTAGCATATTTATTGAGAAATCTAGTAAATTACAGGATTTATTTTGGTATTATTCACAACATTTAATTTTAAAAGAATTCTACAATTTTGAATGCAAATACAAAAACTTGCACCTGTTTGTAATTTTTTTTATCTTGTGCTAGATGCTAATTAATTAAAGCACTATTTATTTACTTCTTTAGTAATTGGTCACCCATGATAAGTTACGTCTCAAAAATAAACTGCTGAGCATGGCTGTGGTGGCCTGTATAATTGTGTGTACTCAGGGATGTATGAGAGCACCATTTGGTGGCAAAAAGTGAAATCACTACTTGACCCCTTGTGCTAGATTGATAGAAGTAAACCGGAAAAAATAATAGAAGACTGCAATAAAGCAGAAAAGATAAGCAGGCGAAACCTACAAGTAGGATATGAAAGAAGAATATGGTACACAAAACACAAAGCAAGGGTACAATACTACATATAAGAATATAAACATTTTGTTCTAAACATCCACTTTATTCGTAATTTATGATTATCTACTTTTGGTATTAACCACTTGCTGTCCTGAGGATTTACGCCCACCCCCCCCCCCCCCCCCCTTCCTGACCAGGCCAGTTTTTTGCAATACAGTGCTGCATTACTTTAATCGACAATTGCACTGTCATGCAATGCTGTACATAAATGAAATGTATGTCCTTTTTTCCCACGAATAGAGCTTTCTTTCGGTGGTATTTGATCACCTGTGCATTTTTTATTTTTTTGCGCTATGAGCAAAAAAAAGATCGACAATTTTGAAAAAAACAAAAACAATATTTTTGACTTTTTGCTATAAAACATATCCAGTATAAAAATTTAAAAAAAAAATCTAATTTCTTCATAAAATTAGGCCAAAATGTATTCTGCTACATGTCTTTGCTAAAAAAAAATCCCAATAAGTGTAAATTAATTGGTTTACGTGAAAGTTATAGCGTCTACAAATGGCAGTATTTATACTGGAATTTTAATTAAAAATTTTTTTTATACTAGTAATCAGCAACGATCAGCAACTTATAGCGGGACTGCGGCAGGTATTCTGACACTGGGTGGAAACTGACTTAGATTTCTCACTGACATGCCCAGTGACACTAACATAGTGATCAGTGCTAATAAAAAGCACTGACACTGTTCTAATGACACTGGGCAGGAAGGGGTTAACATCTGGGGCAATCAAAGGGTTCACTGTGTGCTATTTTACTGTGTGTGCTGTGTGTGTTTTACTTGGGAAACGTGCTGCTGTGTAATTCTCTGCTGTGCCAAGAAATACACAGTAGCATGTTACTGCTGGCAGGAGAGAGATCTATAGTATGTTGTTTACACACAGGTCTCTCCCCTGTCAGTATCACTGGGCGATCACCGGTACCGGTGGGGAATCTCCGGCCAGGACCCAGTGATCAACATCTCTAGCCACCAATGGCAGCGTGGGTAGGGCACCCCCTCCCCGAAAATGTACAATCATGTATATATACGTGATTTTGCGCAGCCCTACCACCCTGTAGCAGTATTCTGGTGGTTAAACTTGAAAGTGAGTTTTTTTTTTTTTATTTTATTTTTTTTTTTTTTTTTTTTATTTTTTTTTTTTTTCATATATATTATATTTCTGCTTACCAGTTCTTAGATGTGATAGCTGCATTAAGTTTTTTTTCATATGCTTACTTTTGGGAAATACACAGGAAGTGCTGCGTTTTCTGCATCGCACTGCATAGCAATTGCACTGTGTTCATGCGATCTGCTGTGGGTGTCAATCAGAAATTAGCGACACCCCAAAAGCAGGTCACAGAACGCAGTGCAGTTGCCTGAATCAGATCGCATAGGTATGAATACCCATGTGATTCTAGTGCGGAAAAAAAAAGGTGCCTACACTTTAAATCTGCTTGTACTAACTAGTATCTAACACTCTCCTCCCCCCAGAATGCTGTCCAAGGTGTCACTGTTGCTCCTACATCCAGGGTGGGGGCACTCTAATACAGGAGGTGTGTTACTGGACAGATCACTAGGTAAAAACAGAGGGGAAAAGTCTAAAAAAGAAGACTAATGCAGCCACCACATCTAATGATTGGTAAGCTGCAATATATTACATTTTTGGTTTGGGGTTTAAAGTGTTACTAAACCCAGGACCCTGCATTCACTACATCTGGTCTCCCACAGTACACAGAACATGGAAATGCAATTATTTTAGTAAATATAAACTGCTAAATATATTTTCTCATCAGCAGTTAGATCAGTCTTGTGACTTCAGCAGAGCACTGGTTAAAGCTTGTAGGAGGAGTTTTTATTTCTGTTCTAGGAGGATGTGAAACCCCTGACCTCTGTCTGGACAGTGCTGATTGGTCCTGTGCTGATCACATACACTCTCCAAAAAGCTCTGAAGGGAAATCTCACCAATGGGACACAAATATGAAACCTGACAGGGAGCTTAAAGTGATACTAAACCCAGGACCCTGCATTCACTCTCTCTGGTCTCCCACAGTACACAGAATATGGACATGCAATTATTTTAGTAAATATAAAAGGCTAAATGCCTTTTCTCATCAGCAGTTAGAGCAGTCTTGTGACTTCTATCAGTGTCCAGCTGAGCATTGGTTAAAGCTTGTAGAAGAAGTTTTCATTCTGCTCTAGGAGGATGCAGAACCCCTGACCCTATGTCTGGACAGTACTGATTAGCCTTGTGCTGATCACATGCACTCTCCCAAGAAAAAAAATAACCTCTCTAGCAATACACACCAAACTGAGCATGTGCTTGTGACTACGGATTCAGTCTGTATCAGGTGGTCATTTCAACAAGAGGAGGGGCAGAGAAGTCAGGATCAAACAGCCTTTTTACACAATGTGGAGGATTAACCCCTTAGGTTCCACAGTGAGTATAACAAGCATGTTTTACTACATTCACAGACTGATTTTACTGTTGTGTGTTTAGTAACACTTTAATACCACTTTATTGTTCACGGTGCCATACTCTGAACCCCTTATAAATAGTGCATGCTTCAGTAACAACACATAATAAATAAATATTTAATTAACAAAAAAATATTTATTTGTTTGGAGCAAAGACAAAAATGTATGCTACCACACCAACCAATCAGGTACAATGTGCACTAAAAAAACAATGCATGGCTCCTGATTGGCTGATATGAGAACCAACTTTTTTTTTCCTTTGATCTAGTATAAAAAAAAAGGAATTAAAGACGATACCAAGTCTGTATTCCCTCTTTGTTAGCCAGTTCCAGAAGAGCCTCACAAAGTTTTATTAATTGTAGGGAGTGTGTGTGTGCTAGGTATCCAGTTATAGCTCTCTGCATTGCTCTAAGGTCTTTCTAATGATACAGAGGGGAATCTGCAAATAGTTGGCTAAAGTGTCTATATTAATTAACTCCCAATTTCCTCCCTTCTTCTTTATCATTTTAATTAGCCCCTGGTCTTTCATGTGCTAGTCAGTGGAAGACTAGAGGTCAGATGGTCATCAGTCACTGGCCAGGACACAAGGCTCTATTGACTCTTCTCTCCCATGGCTTCTAGTGGGGCCAATTAACCCATTCCCTGCCAGGAGCTATCAGTTTACCCTACGAAATCCAAGCAGTAGATTTGATTTCTGGCGGCTCGGTTTCACTTTCTGCACCTGACTCTTTTCTGAAAGAAAGTTATCATTCATTCCAAAGGTCTGTTTGCAATCCAGAATTTTTACTGGGAAACTGCCGTCCCATCCATCAGGATATCTTCACAACCACAAAAGCGAGGAATGACGAGTTCGATAGTCGCAACTTCTTCTTAAATTCATTTAGGTAAAGGAAACCTGGTTTTTCAGCACGCATTGATTTATTGGTAAACCCAGAATTAATGTTTAAGTAAATCTGAATTAAGTCATTTAGGTGTTTACTTATCAAAAGATGTACTGTTCAAGCAAAAGTGCAGGCATATAAAAGTACCCCATTTATTCCAAATAGGTATCATTTAAATACGGGCAGCACAGTGGCTAAATGGTTAGCACTTCTGCCTGGCAGTACTAGGGTCATTGGTTCAAATCCCAACCACAGCACCACCTGCCTGGAGTTTGCATGTTCTCCCCGTGCCTGCGTGGGTTTCCTCCGGTTTCTTCCCACACTCCAAAGACATGCTGGTAGGTGAATTGGATCCTGTCTAAATTGGCCCTAGTATGTGTATGTATGAATGTAAGTTAGGGACCTTTTATTGTATTGTATGCCCCTTGAGGGTTAGGGACTGATGTGAGTGTACAATATATATGTGAAAGCACTGCATAAATGGACAGTGCTATATAAGTACCTGAAATAAATAAATATATTGTTGAATGTATCTTTTTATATTAATTCAGTCTTTGTTTATTTTACTTCTAAGGCCTCATGCACACTGGGCATTTTTGCAGCTGCTGTTTTTGGCATCAGACATTTTTTTTCTGCAGCCAGTAAACTCCCCAGCATGTTCTCCTATGTGTCCATGCACACATAGGCTTTTATCAGTATTTTTTGGCAGGGCGTCTCAGGCTGGAAACCCCCCCGCCCCCCAGAACTACTGTAATGGCAGTAGTGTTGGCTGTAGAATGGCGCATTAAAAACTTGAGTTTTGTTTAATTTTTTTTAGCAATTTCTAGCTTTTCTTTTTAGTTTTCTTTTTTTTTTTTTTTTTTTTTCATTTAGCAAAACTGTACTCCCACAAAAGCTTGAGGCTCAAATATGCTCATAAATGTTGGATAGCCACACTTTTCAGCAGTTTGCAGTGTTTTTCAGTATTTGCCTTCATGCACACGGGACGATTTGATAACGCTGGTAATGTTGGCTGTGTAAAGTCACATTAAAAACATGAGTTTTTTCAACTTTTTTTTAGCATTTTTGCATTAGTGTTTAGTGGTGTTTTGCCGCGATTAGCTGTGTTTTTTTTTTACCCCCCAAAAAATAATCTTTTTTTTTTGGTCAAAAAAAGTTCCAAAAGAGGCGGTTTGTGGCATTTTACAGCGTTAGAGTGTTTTTACCGCTAAACAACTCCTCTAGAAACCTACTAGTCCTGGGTTTTTTTTCCAGCCAAAAAACATCCCAGCCAAAAAACGTTGATTACAGTCTATGTGTGCATGGACACAAAGGATAACATACTGGGGGGTTTACTGGCTGTAGAAAAAAACGTCAAAAGCCAAAAACAGCAGGCTGTAAAATCGTCCAGTGTGAATGAGGACTAATACGTATTTGGAATAAGTCCTCATGCACAATGGGCGTTTTTGCAACTGCTGTTTTTGGCATTAGGCGTTTTTTTTCTGCAGCCAGTAAACTCCCAGCATGTTCTCCTATGTGTCCATGCACACATAGGCTTTAATCAGTATTTTTTGGCAGGGCGTCTCAGGCTGGACCCCCCCCCCCCCCCCGCACCAGAACTGTTTGAAGAGGAGTTTTTCAGCCATTAGGCCTCATGCACGATGGACAGTATAAAAATGCCAGTAGTGTTGGCAGAAGAATGCTGCAATAAGAACGTGAGTTTTGTTTAATTTTTTAGCAATCTCTTTTTCTTTTGAGTTTGTTTTCTTTTTAGCAAAACTATACTTCCACAAAAGCTTGAGGCTCAAAAACGCTCATAAATGTTGGATAGCCACGTTTTTCATCGGTTTGCAGTGTTTTTCAGTATTAGAGCATTTTTACAGCTGAAAAACACTTCAAATGCAGTAGTTCTCCAGCCTGAAAATGCCCCAGCCAAAAAACACAGATATGAGCCTTGTGTGCATGGACACATAGGATAACATGCTGGGGAGTACTGCCTGTAGAAATAAATGCCTGACGCCCAAAACAGCATCTGTATAAATGCCCAGAGTGCATGAGGCTTCAGGGGCATCAGGCATTTTTTTTACTACTTCCAAATGGCCCTCTATGTTATCCTATGTGTCCATGCACATATAGACTTTTAGTAGCAGTAGCGTTTACCAGCAGGAAAAAAACCCAGGGCCAGTGTGTCCAGGAGTAGCTGCATTTTGGCAGAAAAAAACGCTTGTCACGTGTAAACATGCCTAAATGCGTGTTAACACTAGGAGCGTTTATTATTATTTAGCGCTTGAGCGTTAATTCATTTCATTGACCAGAAAAAAATTATTATTATGGCCAATCAAATGAATTAACACTCAAGTGCTTGATGCTTGTAAACGCGCCTAAATGCTTGTTAAATAGCTAGACTCTTTGACAAGTGTCAGGCATTTTTTTTTTTTTCCAAAACGCTGATGTCAAGAGGAGGAGCATTTTTAAAATGTCCTGTTGCATGAGGCCTTATAGTCCACTGCATAGCATGAATCCAACCAGAAGAAAAAGGGGTAGCACTGTAGGCCAGGCAGGCTTTACTATTGCACAGTGTGCAGGGAGATGGCTAATTGGTGGAGAGAGGGCTGATCCGATCACTGTGTTTCTGCTCA